AGTCAAACACAGCCCTGGCCAATCAGCATCTCCTCATAGAGATGAATTGAATCAATAAATCTCTATGAGGAAAGTTCAGTGTCTGCATGCAGATGGTGGAGACATTGATATGTTGTGATGCACACTAGGCAAGACAGCTTAAGGAAGCAGCTCTCGCAGTCATCTAAGGAGTGGCCAGTGAAGTTATCATTAGGCTGTAATGTAAACACCGCATTTTCTCTGAAAAGACAGTGTTTACAGCAAAAAGCCTGAAGGTAATGATTCTACTCACCAGAACAAATGCAATAAGCTGTAGTTGTTCTGGTGACTATAGTGTCCCTTTAACTGTTTGACCTACTTCCCTGTGATCCATTAATATTCTATACCTGTTTACAACCCCAACCACTGTTATTATATAATTTGCCGGTGCTCACATGCACGGGGCCTGCTACACCCATCTCCACCAGTGGAAGGGTTCCAAGTCAGGATCTTGCTAAGATGATCAGACTCACGTGAAATAATGAACAACAGAAAAGTAATGGTATCGTCAAACCAAGGGCTAATAATGTTCTGATATCCTAGCGGCAAATAGTTTATCCCCTACACAAGCTCTGCTGATTCAAGGTTGCCAATCTATCCAGTAGGCTGAATACAAATTATGCTGCTGCAGTTTCAAGCTCACGGAACATGTTCATCGGACCAGCAGGATGGGCAGTGGATTGAAAGAGGCAGGTTAAAGGTGACCACAAGAACAAATACAGTTAAATACACGACTGTGAGAGGCACAGAGAGCCAGCACAATGAGAGGCCTTGTAAACCAGGGTAGCAAGCATTGCTCCATCCAAGAATGTGCTGACACAGTGCCACTCATGGCTTTACAACACAAAACATATATTGTAACAAGTCACTGCTCACACTTAGTATTGCATTCTCTTTCATTGTGTTAAGGATTCAAATATTCCTGAGTTCCGCGGTCTGGATAGCACTAAGCCTAACCCTAATGCTCAAAATACTAACTTGCACAACCCAAAACTTAAGTCTAACTCACATGATCCTAACCTTAACCCTATCTTAAATAACCCATGAGGTACAGTTGTGTTTTGGCATTAAAATCAAGTGTCACGTCAAAGTTGGCATGCAAAACAATATTCACATTGCAAATAGATATCTTATCGGCTAATCATAGGATAAAGCAAAACTGTTCTGCCTTAGTTAGAAGAGTTTTAAAAACAAAAATACAAATATCTCGCTATTTACACTTGTTTGTGTCCAATTTCATTTCCTCTCCTTGCTCCCTGCGGTAGACCCACTACCAGCCATATCCCCCCAGTTACACCCCATAAAGCAAAAAAAGTCCCTCTTTGACATTTGAACTTTTGTGGAGCATGTAACACCCAGAAGCTTTCTATTGATGATAGTTAGGGATGGAAAATTAAGATTAGATACAGTTCTATGTTTTGGTATCTTCTCATCTTAGAAGTGCAAGATTGTTTTTCCACAAATGATTTATTTTGGCACAGTCCAATCTAGTTATGTGCATTTTAGTAAAAATAAGATGGTACAATGTAAGGAAAAAAGGCACGGGATTATTCAAAAGTTGCATCATCATTGCATGCTTGAAGTAGTCCCCTACGAAGGAACCAAGACTAACTCTAAGAAGCCAAAAGAATCAAGACAACCACTAGACCCTGAGAGTCTACAAATACCGAGAGAGACTGAAAGACTGAATACGTTAGACACAAGTATTGTAATCACGGTATATATTGGTCTCAGCTGGAGCAAACCACTGATTGTTCCACTGGTAGCCATCATTATTAAATCGACTGCATTCAAGATTTTAGAGAAACTAAAAATATTAATATTGAACCAGAGTGAAACATCTGGTTCATATATTTCCTAAGGTTTTGCCTGGTTTAACTTTTGGGCAGAGGACCAAACCAGTTATTAATGAGAAGGGAATTATCAGGGAATGTCTTAGTAAATATATTGTTTATGTAAAACAATTGTTCGGGCAACCTTAAATAACAATGGCGTATTTTGTGGAAATGTGGATGACAGCAATCAATGCATTAGCATAATTTACCCCTACGGCTTTTAATTAAATGTAAGTGCGCAGGAACTGGGATGGGTAACATCATCGCCTGCTTATGACCTTATTGAGTATTAAAATGACTAATGACAGTTTCTCATTTATTATAAAAAGTATTTTGTATAACAGAGTTTTAGACAAACTTTTTTTTTTAATTGTTATATAAAACATAATTAAGTTATCTGAGCGATCATCTAGAGCTGTATAGAGATTGCTATCTTTCCTGGAATCTACCTTTGCATAATGCTGTAATTATTTAATGGAGAAAAGTAATTAATGAGCCATTTGTTCCAAATATCTTGTTTCATCAAATCACGCGATACTCAGTGATATATGTGTTATGTATAAATGGAAGCAGATAGAGACTCTAGAAAGTGACTTACACCGTTGCATTTTTCCCTGTCCATGTACATCACTGCATTAAACAAATTCTAAGGGAGGAGGAATGAAATAATACAATTTCTAAAGATAAAACGCATGTTGGCCATCTCTTCTCCTTAGTCGATTTATTTTAATTTAATCTGTGCAAAGGCATTTTACAGTACAATTTTCACTACCTATAAAAAAAAAAAAACATTCGCTGTAGTGACTCATGAACGCAACTCGGTTTCCCAAGATTATTTAGTAGCTCACAGTAGACGAAACCTGCCCTCTGATATTTAAAGTCGCATCTATAGCATTATGTAGCATTACCGGGAATCTTTGGGAAAAAGATCTCCTCCGGATGCCATGATCTTGATATCTTTAAACAATACCATCTTCATATCACCAGCGTGTTGCCCGTTACTGTCTGTACAATACAGTATGTTTCTTGGCCAATTTATGAAATAAAACAAAAATAGCCACTTGGACAGCAGGAAGTGATTTGCTAATCCTGCTGACACGCTGGAGACGTTCAAGTTTCCCGAAGCATAAACAAACGAAAATCACATTTATTATATTAATATATATATTGAGAATGAAAAGTTCCAAAACATGAAAACAATAAACTAAAATATTCATCAAGCTGAACATTCTCACTGGCATGAAGAACATGTTAAGTTTAGACAAAGACATCATTTATTAACGATTAAGTATAAAAGTTTTCAAGTGATCACTTAAATAATATTAGTTTGGCTGCCACAGAGGCATTGTGTCTACTGTTCTTATAACGTGTTGTGGCTGCAGTCACATTCCTGGGATAGTTTTGTTATTTAATTGTGTTAATTGTTGGTAAAAACAGAAAAGATGGGTTCTTTTGATTAAGTAATTAGTTTTGTACGAGCCATGATTGAAACTCTGTTTTTTGTAGAATTTTATATTTACTTCAGCAGTATGATAATTAAAATATGCACATTTTGGTCATCAATGTAAATACAGTAAAATAGACCAAATAAGGACCCATCCTTCAGTGAGTCTAACTTTTTGTGATGTGCGACAGTGAATTCTATTTAGTACTAGTACTATGTATTTGCTCTATCGGGTGTGGCAAATACCCGATAGAGCAATTAAGGGGCCCCATCTGGATATTAAACCGTGGTGTAGCTAGGGAAGCAAAGGGGGTGTTACGCCCCACTTTTTTGAGGGTGGTTCAGGAGCATGCCCAGCACTGTGTCTCGAGTGAAAAGTGTGGCCCAGCTGCAATGGAGGGGATATGAATCATGTCATTTCCCTGCTCCCTGTATTCTTCACAGCCCAGGGCGTGTGCAGGGATTTTTGCCGTCCTAGGCAAAAAAAAATTGTCGCCCCTTTCACTCCACAGTGGTCCTGTAGGTTTAACCACACAGCATGTTTAAACCTTACCTTGACGGGTTAAACATGCTGTCAGCCACTAGAGGCACCTCTACTGTTGGAAGGGCATAGAGCTTGCCACTTATGTGCATCAGGTCCCCAATGCTCCTATATGAGGAACATTGCATTGGACCAGTGTTGTCCCATCAGTGACATCAAGCGAGGTAAGGAGGCAAGCAGTGCAGAGGGAGTCTTGGTGCTTGAAAAATTTAACTAAAAGTAAATCCCCCCCCCCCTTTTTTTAGTCATTTTATGGTGGGGGGGTGCTTGAATCTAAGTAGTTAGAGGTACACTATAGTATTTGGAACACTATAGTGTTCTTTCAAAAGTATTGATTTATTTTTTTTTTAATTAAGAAAATGGTCTTTTCTGCCAAATGCAATCACTGATACATACATACATACATACACACACACCCTCATGCACACACTCATTCACTCACACTCAATTGTCCACACAATCACAATTAATGACCAATGCACACACATTCACTGACTCTTGCAGAGTGACACACACACTAACTCAATCAGATATAAAATTACTTGAGTATACTGACACACACACTGACCCATGATACAGACACATATACACACACACTTCCCGAAATCGGCACATACACTGACCCATGCAGACACACACACACATTAACTGTCCCTAGCAGACACACACACACTGACCCAAGCAGACACACACACACTGTCCCTAGAAGACACACACACACACTGACCCAAGCAAACACACACACTGTCCCTAGAAGACACACACACACACACACTGACTCAAGCAGACACACACACACACTGTCCATAGAAGACATACACACACTGACTCAAGCAGACACACACACACTGCCCCTAGAAGACACACATACACAAACTGACCCAAGCAGACACACACACACTGTCCCCAGCAGACACACACACTGAGTGAAGCAGGCAGACACACATTCTTTAAAACACACACTATGATGTCCCCATCTTACCTTAATTTCATATTAAGACACACACACACAGTCCCTAGCAGATACACACACATACACTGTCGCAGCAGACACACACACACTGACCCTAGTAGGCACACACACACTGTACCTAGCAGACACACACACACACACTGACCATAGGCATGCGCAAGCTATTGCATTACGGTGTGCACCCTAAAGCACAAACACACGCCGCGTGTATATGTATGTGTGTGTGTGTGTGTATATATATATATATATACATATAAATATATATATATATATATATATATATACACACATACATACACTGCTGTGTGTGTGCTGTGTGAGGGTGGTATGAGGGTTTTGTGTGTGTAAGGGTGCTGTGTGTGAGGGTGCTGTTAGAGTGATGTGTGTGAGGGTGCTGTTTGTGTGCTGTGTGTTTGTTAGGGTCCTGTTAGTGTGCTGTGTGTGTGTGTGTTTGTGAGGGTGCTGTTTGTGTGTTTGTGAGGGTGCTGTTTGTGTGCTGTGTGTGAGAGGGTACTGTGTGTTTGAGGGTGCTGTGTGTGTGAGGGTGCTGTGTGTGTGAAGGTGCTGTGTGTGTGTGGGTGCTGTGTATGTGTGTGCTGTATGTGTGTGGGTGCTGTGTGTGTGTGGGAGTGCTGTATGTGTGTGTGTGTGTAGGTACTGTGTGTGTGCTGTATGTGTGTGGGTGTGTGTGTGTGTGTGTGTGTGTGTGTGTGTGTAGGTGCTGTATGTGTGTAGGTGCTGTGTGTGTCTGTGTTTGGGTGATTGTGGGGGGTGGAGGTGGGGGTACATTACTTAATATCCCCCTCCCTTATTACCTTATGAAGGGAGGGGGGATCGTGCTGCTGCCATCCCTGGTGGTCCAGTGGAGAGTGAACTCTAGCCTGTGGGGATAGAGTTCACTCTCGTGAGATCTGAGCATTGCCGCGGCAATGCTCCGACCTTGCGAGAGGAACCCGGCGGAGCTGCTGGTTGAGCTCCCCGGGTCCTCTCCTGCCTCCCTCCTTGCATGTGGGCCGGTGGGGAGTGAGGTTGAGAGCAGAGCTGGTGCTCGGACAGCGCCGGCTCTGCATGAGCCGACAGGGGGGATCCTGAGATCTCCCCTGCCGGTCTCACTCCATAGGCGTGCCGCGGGGATTAGGGTGTGCCCAGGCACACCCCGTGCGCACGCCTATGACACTGACTGAAGCAGGCAGACACACATTCTTTAAAACACACACTATAATGTCCCCCTCTTACTTTAATTTCATATTGTGTCCCAGGCTTCTTCAGTACGCCTTGCTGCCTCGTTCTTTTCTGAAGGGAATGCAGTGGTTTTTATGAAGTGGGGCAGGGTTTTTGTTGAGGGGGGCATGGGTTTAGTAGTAGTGGGGCTGGGCAGTGTTTTTGTAGAAGAGGGGCAAGGGTTTTTTCTGAAGGGGGTGCAGGGATTTTGTAGAAGGTGGGGTGGGAAGGGTATTTTGTAGATGGGACAGGGCTTTTGTAGAAGAGAGCAGGGAATTTGTGAAGCGGGGCTGGACAGGGGTTTTGTAGTGTGAAGGAGGGGTGCAGCATTTTTTTAGAAGGGGGCAGGGGTTTTGTACAGGTTTACAAATTTGTGCAATAAATATTCTTGAAAATACTTTTAGAAATTGTGGGTGTTTTTTTGCATTTTAAAGTGAGTGTGTGAGGAGGGAGAGGGGGTGCCAAGCACAGGATCTGCCCCGGGGGCCAATGCTCTAGGTACGCCCCTGCTCACAGCACAGCTGGTGCTGTTCCGCCATAGTGAGTGGAAAAGTTAGGGCCCATCCAGAGTGGCAAAAGCTATAACTATGCCACTGCCCCCTAACCATCACATATTGTAGAATATGTCTCATGGGAAAAATGTTGGGTGAAAAGTGATAAATGTGAAAATGTGAAAATGTGCATTATTGGTTTCCATGACGATTGTTCCTTATTTAGCATTTTAGCACAGCCTCAGACTAGCACCTGATTTTTGCCATGATAAATCTCCTCCACGTTATTGGAAAATCTAACCCATACTACATAGTGTAATAGATATATAATAATGCAATGATTAACTCTACCATGGGACCTCAGGCTTATTATATTCTCATGTCAATATCAATTCACTGCCATCTGCAATCAGGAATAAAATAGATTTAAAAAATTGAATTAATTTATTTTGTCATATGGATGCCTCAAGCTGGTATGGACATGACTACTGTGAAGGTTCGTGAACTGCTAGGCTCCTTGTTTTTGTGCATTTATAATAGGGTGTGCCCATTTTTTAACGATCAGATATCTTTTTCTCAGAGTCTGAACATTCAGGAGTGAGTCTTGCATTCCTGGCTCACTGCCTGATTAACACGTTTTGCTATACTACTGTAATTTTTAATTAATATTCCACGGTATTTATTTTTCCCTGAAGCAGAACTAGATAGGTAGGGCGCTCTTACACAATGCTTATCTGCAGAAATTAAACAACCTTATATAACCGTGGCTGAATAAGTCTTTTCATTTAATAATGGTTGTATGTTAAAGGGATCCCTAACTATACACTGGAATGATTGACACATTGACCATTGTGTGACTTTTAATATGCATCAAAAAATGTGCATTAATGATGTCTTACAGGACGGTGACATTTTAGCTCATCTGTTATGCAAGAACTTCTATTGCAGGTTACATTCCAGCACTGAAGATGATCATGTCATTCGAGAGCAGTTTAGTTCATGTAGAACCAAGACAACTCCTTTTTTTTACTAACTATAATTGAGTGGAAGTTAATCTAGCTTTTCTTTATTTGAACTGGGCAGCAAATCTGTCAATAGCCTGTGAGCAGATTAAGATGAGGTATCCCGTTAGAAAGGATGGGTTCTACTTGGCTATTATAACTACAGCCATTATTGGAATCAACGGAAAGTGAGTTTTCTATCTACTGCTACTCTAGTGATCCGTCTGCCCAAAGTCCGGATAGAATGTAATACATTTTCAGGTGTAAAAAAATGATACATTAGAAAGAATACATATATATACACTGCTCAAAAAAATAAAGGGAACACAAAAATAACACATCCTAGATCTGAATTAATTAAATATTCTTCTGAAATACTTTGTTCTTTACATAGTTGAATGTACTGACAACAAAATCACACAAAAATTTAAAAATGGAAATCAAATTTTTCAACCCACGGAGGTCTGGATTTGGAGTCACAGTCAAAATTAAAGTGGAAAAACACACTACAGGCTGATCCAACTTTAATGTAATGTCCTTAAAACAAGTCAAAATGAGGCTCAGTAGTGTGTGTGGCCTCCACGTGCCTGTATGACCTCCCTACAACACCTGTGCATGCTCCTGATGAGGTGGCAGATGGTCTCCTAAGGGATCTCCTCCCAGACCTGGACTAAAGCATCTGCCAACTCCTGGACAGTCTGTGGTGGAACGTGACGTTGGTGGATGGAGTGAGACATGATGTCCCAGATGTGCTGAATTGGATTCAGGTCTGGGGAACGGGTAGGCCAGTCCATAGCTTCAATGCCTTCGTCTTGCAGGAACTGCTGACACACTCCAGCCACATGAGGTCTAGCATTGCATTAGGAGGAACCCAGGGCCAACCGCACCAGCACATGGTCTCACAATGGGTCTGAGGATCTCATCTCGGTATCTAATGGCAGTCAGGCTACCTCTGGTGAGCACATGGAGGGCTGTGCGGCCCCCCAAAGAAATGCCACCTCACACTATTACTGACCCACTGCCAAACCGGTCATGCTGGAGGATGTTGCAAGCAGCAGAACGTTCTCCACGGCATCTCCAGACTCTGTCACATCTGTCACATGTGCTCAGTGTGAGCCTGCTTTCATCTGTGAAGAGCACAGGGCACCAGTGGCGAAATTGCCAATCTTGGTGTTCTCTGGCAAATGCCAAAGGTCCTGCACGGTGTTGGGCTGTAAGCACAACCCCCACCTGTGGACGTCGGACCCTCATACCACCCTCATGGAGTCTGTTTCTGACTGTTTGAGCAGACACATGCACATTTGTGGCCTGTTGGAGGTAATTTTGCAGGGCTCTGGCAGGGCTCCTCCTGTTCCTCCTTGTACAAAGACGGAGGTAGTGGTCCTGCTGCTGGGTTGTTGCCCTCCTACAGCCTCCTCCACATCTCCTGATGTACTTGCCTGTCTCCTGGTAGCGCCTCTATGCTCTGGACGCTACGCTGACAGAGACAGCAAACCTTTTTGCCACAGCTTGCACTGATGTGCCATCCTGGATGATCTGCACTACCTGAGCCACTTGTGTGGGTTGTAGACTCCGTCTCATGCTACCACTAGAGTGAAAGCACCGCCAGCATTCAAAAGTGACCAAAACATCAGTCAGGAAGCATAGGAACTGAGAAGTGGTCTGTGGTCACCACCTGCAGAACCACTCCTTTATTGGGGGTATCTTGCTAAATGCCTATAATTTCCAACTGTGTCTATTCCATTTGCACAACAGCATGTGAAATTGATTGTCACTCAGTGTTGCTTCCTAAGTGGACAGTTTGATTTCACAGAAGTGTTATTGACTTGGAGTTACATTGTGTTGTTTAAGTGTTCCCTTTATTTTTTTGAGCAGTGTATATATATATATATAAATATGGAAGGCTTGCCCTGTAATTGTGGGAGGGACTATGACCCCTATTTAAATCCAGTGAGCCCCTGCTTACCTGTCGTCAATGATCTCGGTAGTTCTCCTCCCACCGCACCCTCTATTTTCATATCACCTAGGTGGGCCCTCTTTTACAGGTCTAACCTCACGCCAGTTTCGGCACACCTCAACTGACTTTGCTCTTACTACATGTTCTTCCTATTATACCATACGTCCTCTAAATGTGCCGTACACAGATATGCATATATATATATATATATGTATATATATCCATATATGCAGAATAAAGAAAAGAATTACACTGTGCAAAATAATTTGCAACAATTTACACTCGATATCTCAGGATAAAAACATTCCTGAATGTAGACATGTCAAAGTATCATTCACAAGTGAATTGAAAAAGAGACTATTAATACTAATGTTAAAAAATATTACCAGTTTGCAGTGATTGATCATTTGACGATAAATGTAGTTTATTTTTCTACTCTAAACAGGGGCGTTGCTAGGTTCCAGAAACACCTAGGGATTGAACCCAAAGCAAAACTCAATGACCAGTGCAGGCACATCCATAGTGCATAGGGCAGAACCACCCACCAGTTTTTATGTAGGGGAAAAATGTATTTGCAGTAGTTTAGAAACACTTAGATTCTATTTCTGGAAGAGAGGGTGGTAAGCCAAAAAAAAAAGAAAAAAAT